TCAGTAATTTTATCGTCCAAAGTAGAACTTGACACTCCCGCTGTGTTCACAATAGGTGATGTCGACACCACTGTTGTGCTTTCATCATAATGTGTAGCAGTTTCAGTTACATACGTAGAAGGTAATTCAGCTCCATTTGTACTAGAGTCGCTGGAATTTGAAGTTTCCGTGCTGTCATTAGTAGTTTCTGTCTGTAACTCAGGCTTTGAAGTTGTAACTTCTAGAAATTCTGTGGAGAACTCGCTAGTCGAGCTAGCTGTTTCAGTAAGTGTAGATGGTGATTCAGTGGTAGTTGAAAAGGATGATGTAGACAAATCTATTGTGCTACTTTCATAATATGTCGTACTTTCAGCTATAAACGCTGGAGACGATTCACTTACAGATGCTCTGCTGCTTTCTAAAGTTTCAGTACTAAATCCGCTAGTTCTCGTTTGCGAGCCAAGCTCAGTGGTACCATACGTCGTAAAACTGGATGTCTCATCGGTGACGACAGTTACTGCACTTGTCTCGGCTTCAGTAGTTTCTAGAATTTCTGTCATCGCAGGCGGCGAGGGCTCTTCCTCAAACTCGGTTGCTCCAGGATGAGTCCGCGTAGTTACCAGTTCTGTCATGCTGTAGTCAGTGGTTGATGGGCGAGATGTTGAGTTGAACCACGTGTCAACAGAGGTTGAGGTGGAATTGTCGTTAGGGTCAGGAGGAATCGTTGAGTTAGAAGGAGGAGATGGCGGCGGTTCTGAAAGCATCTGAAATCGTTCGCTTGTCTCGTGCGGTAGTAAATGGCTCAACTTCTGCCGAGTTTTATAAATAGTTGCTTTTAATGATATATGCATATTTTCTAGCCCCTGTATCTGGCTATTATCATTTACTTGAGAAACTTATGAGCCAAAATAGTTTCGTTTGTGACTTTCTATATAATGAACAACGTTTTGCACCAGATGATTTAGAAGCGAGAGAAGAGCGAAATATGCTATAAAATCTTCTATGCATGAAATTTCTTATTTTATCTACTTAACCTTAACCAGCTCCATTTAGTTTTTGTATATTTGAGGTTTTCTAGCCTAGTCTCTGTTAAAAAAGCTATTGAACAATTTATTCGCCAAAAAAAACTATTAACCATCTCTCATTAGGCAGGTGACGTTGGAAATAATTAGCTGAGATTGAGTGTCCATCCACTCCAAGTCATCCGTGCATGTGA